CAAAGGGTTGCCAATGGGATTCAACAAGAGGATTTTTTTGGGTTAGATTAGACCAACTACCACCAGACAAAGCCAATTAGTAAGACTTGCACAGAGACCCATAAACTCGCACAGAGGCCCAGAGACTCGCATAGAAACCCATAGACTCGCACAGAGACCCATAGACTCGCACAGAAACCCATAGAATCGCACAGAGACCCATAGACTCACACAGAGACCCATTGACTCACATAGAAACCAATACATTCACATAGAAACCCATAGACTCACACAGATACCCATAGACTCACAAGAAACCCATAGACTCACACAGAGACCCATAGACTCACACAAAAACCCATAGACTCACAAGAAACCCATAGACTCACACAGAGACCCATAGACTCACACAGAGACCCATAGACTCACACAGAGACCCATAGACTCACAAGAAACCCATAGACTCACACAGAGACCCATAGACTCACACAGAAACCCATAGACTCACACAGAGACCCATAGACTCACACAGAGACCCATAGATTCGCACAGAGACCCATAATTTGTTGTCTTTCCCCCCCACATCCGATCAGCACGGTTGGCTGAGTATGGTGCGAAAGAAGTTCAACGTACATAAAGCGCTGCGAGGCCTTGCTTCAATGGCGCTACGTAAAATTGAGTTTTACTTATTAACCGACTCGCACGCCACATCCACTCCTCGGCTTGGGCGAGTGAAGGAGAGTGGAGACCAAAACGGGTTTTGGAAATCGCTCGCCACTTGCGGTAGCCGTGGGCCATGTTCGAGAATCAAACTTTCGTCGCCCGTGTGCATAGCGCAAATGTGCCGGCATGTGTAACTACATCGACAAAATACCGCACGTAGCCAACCAAAGTAAAAACAAAAAAGCAGCTCTCCAGAATTGAATTTTCAATCTGGTTTTGAAAGTGCATAGCTTGGAGTGGCTTCCTCATATTGGATAGGAAGTGCGTTCCAGATGGCCGCAGAAGAGCGTCTGAAAGCGCGCGATGCGGTAAAAGATGTTTCTAATATAACTTCAAGCCAATGGGCTACTTTGATTTGTAACAATGTGGCGATGCCCGCGTTTTGCTCGACGTCGTGGGAAACGCACTGCACTGCAGCGAACAGACTCTTGCGATTAGAGCCGTTAGGTGCGATCTGTCGGGACGTTAAAAATGTGCCACTCCGCATTAATGACATTTCACGATGACTCCGGGGCCGAGATTGTCGCGGGAGGAATCCCACCTCGAGCAGATATCAAACGACACCGAATATATTTAAAGCCGTTATTATTCTTATTGTCCTATTAAATATTTAACGCACTTGCCTAAAAGGTCATTGGGGTGGGTCCTCGGAATCGAGTTTTTTTTTTTATTGTGAAGCCTGTAGGCACGTGGCCTGTGGAGACAACGGCCGAGGGGAGGGAGCGGCTTTTCCAATGATGCTTGATGGTCGGCATCAAAGCCAGCCAATAACAACCCTTCATTGCCGAGGTCTCGAGGTTCACCGTCCCGTTCGCCCGATTCTCTTCAAGCTCGCTCGCGGCGGCGGTGAGGATTATCAAACGTCGGGGAGCGCGGCGAGGAATAATTACACTCGCAATTTAGTTCACGTCGGGCAATTCGCTCCGCTCTCACGACGCAGGCATCGGCAAACGTCTCCGGAGCCGCATGAAATTGTAGAGGGATAAAACGACCTCGGTAAACGCTCTTTTACCGCATCGCGCGGGCGCTTTCAGATGCGCTTCTGCGGCCATCTGGAACGCTCTTCCCTCCGATATATGAAAGCGACTGGGAGATATGCACTTTTAAAACTAGACTGAAAATTAATTTTGTTACAACTGCTTTTGGTGTTTAGGTTGTTGTCCTTTCCCCACACACCCTCCGATTAGCGCGGTTGGCTACTTACAGTGCAAACGGAGTTCAACATATCTACATACATCTAATACATTTAATCAAACATGACCCCAGACTCGATCATCCGTATTTCATCGATGTAGCTATAAATGTCAGCGCATTCTGCTATGCACCCATTGACGTAAGTTTAGAAAACAAATGGCGTGAGCCGCATCAAATTGGCGGCCAGAGAATTGTATTTTATTATGTTTTATTTTTTATTATTTTATTATTTCCCTTCTACGTGACTTTACCGAAAGAACCAAAAAACTAATACAGACCCTTTCGTGAGACAAGTTTCACAGCCGTTTACAGAAAGTGCTGTAAAAAAGCTGCTCTACAAAGCAATGGGCAGCTGCACTTCTACACATTGGCGGCTCGTAGCCATACCGTGCGGATTCCACGTTACAATGGCTGGGGATATTTTCCGCACACAGGACAAGCGGACGTTTGCGTGCCGAGCAAAGTGGCACCGATTTTATTGATCTCCCGAAGAATCGTGGGGCTGGTTCGAACCGACAACTCGTTTTATCGCGAGTCAAGCACTCCCCCTATCCGCAGTGCCACCAGGCGCCGTGCGTACGCGCGCACATACGCGCGCCCCGCACGCACAAGGCATGCGTCCCCGTTTGCGAATCAATAAATAAGCAGCTGATTCAGTAAAATGCCACCCCGAACAAAGTTGCGCATTAAGAAAATGTGTTAACCAGAGGCCCACATTGTAACCTTTCTGAAAGTCATTGCACACGCAATCACCTATTGGCAGGCTGCTTAAGTTAAACAAGCCATGTAAAACGTCCATTACCACCTCTTTGTTCGGTTAACAGTTAAATCACAAGCTGAGCCGTGTGGCTTTCCCCGGGATCATGAACGGGCATTAGTGGGGGGAGAAAAACAGGAGGGCGCTCTCGCACAGAGTCGCGACAGCTTGAGTTCAAGTCCCGGGTCAAGGTCAACTCAGCCCCATAAGAAATGTATTACAGGTACAACACTCTATGCATGTTTAGCAGAAGTCACAAACGGGTTTTGATTCCTTAGCCGTACCCGTACCCGGCCGCACCAGGGTCGCAAACGGGTACCCATACCCTACCCGTACCCTACCCGTACCCTACCCGAAATGAGTGACAAACGGTTACTCACCAGTGACTCACGGCCTACCCGTACCCGTACCCGGCTGCACCAGGGTCGCAAACGGGTACCCGTACCCGTACCTGGCCGGGTACAGGCAGCCGGGTATCGGGTAGGGTACGGGTATCGGGTACCCGGTTGCGACCTCTGATGTTTAGTGCTGGCACAGTGGAGAGCATACCTGTCAACCAATACGGTTTACCCGTGTTCTTGTACAGGGAAATTGAGTAAAAAAACATGTTTGTGTTTCTCCCTTGTGATGGGACTTTGCAGGATGAACGTTGACATTTTTAAGGGTACGGGGTGACCAATAAGGTCTGAATTGGTCTGTAATAAGGTAGGGCACTGATAAGGGCTTGGCAGGTATAGGAGAGAGTCATGTCTGGAACGACGCTGGGCCCTTTCATCACCAGACCGCACTGACCAGCGTGGTGAAGTATGGTCAAACAAACCCCACGAATGAATGAGGATGGCCTTCATCTAGCATAGGATTGAAAGAGGGATGTGAATTATTCTTCTCATTATCATTGTTTTGTATTTCTCATTCTACTAGTTGTATGATCACCGAAGGAGGAAGCAGGCCAGAAAATGGGACCCGCGCAGAGTTGGAGCAATTAAATCAGCTCACGTGTGAGTCGTTACACGGGCAAGAGACGGTGGCGGCTTGGAGAGGCTTTCATCAAGCAGTGGATAGATCATGGCTGATGACGACAACGACGATGACGTCACTCATCCAAGCAGGGCAGTATTGCCCATAACACCGCCGCTCCCCCACCCATGGATATCACAGTAAGGAAGAAAAAAAAAAACTCCACCCACATCAAAGTGCTTGCCACAAATGAACCACAATGCCCCGCTGACCTCAAGGAGCATAAACCATCACACGCGGACTCCGGTCATCCTCGCCGCAGCGGCTTCTGGCTGGCCATCAAACAAAGACGGCGGTCACCGCGACGCGACGCGGCGCTTTCAGATGCGTTTGCGCGGCCGTCTGGAACGCTCTCCCTTCCGACATTAGGAAGCCACTGGAGCCATGCACTTTTAAATCGACATTGAAAACTAATTTCTTGAGAACCGCTTTTTTGTATTTCGTTTGTTGTCCTTCCCCTGCACCTCCAATTAGCAAGGTTGGCTTCGTAGGGTGCGAAAGAAGTTCAACTTACGTACATACATAGGGAACTGCATTCGAGCACATACACTCTCATCGTCGCTCAAAATACCAGCGCGGTCTTCCAGGGGAGGCCGAGTTTCAAATACTTTTTTTCCCTCTCAATATTTCGCCACGCACAACTGCGGGCACCTTCGACTCCCTGGAATGTTTTGGCAGTGGGCGGAGGAGCGGTGGCGACGTGATTGGGGTGCTGCGCTACCACCGAGGCGACTTGAGTTCGACCTTCAACTCCTACTAAGACGCCCGCGGTAGTGCGTGGCAAAAGCTCGAGAGAAAGTTTGAGAACGTGTTTCTATGTTGAGCTTCTTTCGCGCCGTACGTAGACAACCGCGCTAATCAGATTTGCGGGCGAAGGACAACAAAACTAACCACAAAACGCAGTTCTGAAGAAATTCGTTATCCATTTAGATGATTTCAAAGTGCATAGCTCCAGTGGCTTCCTGATATCGGAAAGAAGAGCACTCCAGACAGCTGCAAAAGTGCATCCGAAAGCACGCGAGGCCGTGACCGTCTTTGTTCGATGGTTCGCCAAAAAACTGTCTCTACACACAAACACGTATGTCTGTTGAACTTCTTTGGCACGGTACATAGCCAATCGCACTAATCGGAAATGCGGGAGGAGGAGGAGGAGGGGGGGGACAATAAACTAGACACAAAAAGCAGTTCTAAAGAAATTAGTTTTCAATATAGGCGATTTTACGAGTGCACCGCGTTTCCAACCCTCAACGCGCAGCTCGAACCCGGACTGCCGGACTGGTCAACGACACCCTGTGCCGCTGCCAGACCCCCCCCCCCCCCCCCGACTGACCTTGATGGCCTTTTTGCTGCCCTTCATGTGGTCAATCTTGGCCTGGGCCAGACAGAGGCGTGTGTCCAGACCCTGCAGCCGGCTCCTGTTCTCTTCGATCCTCTGCGAGAGCCTGCACACGCGCACAGCGCACACGGCACACGCGCACAGCGCACGCGTTGCGGCGAGGGTTCGAGATCAGGGGCTAGGGTCGGCGATGGGAGCTCAGCATCCCCCATAAGGGGTTAGGGCCGTCCAGAATATACCGTAGAACAGGGGTCGGGAACCTTTTTGCCTGGGAGAGCCATAAAAGCCAAATATTTCTAAATATATTTCATTGAGAGCCATATAGTATTTTTAACGTATAATAAATTAAATATGTCTTACTTTTAATGCGACTTCTGGTCACGGGATCCGTGACCCGAGAAATTTTATCTTCAAAACTAATTTCTGTTTACTTTAAAATAACACAGTATTATTAAGTAATATCACAAGTATTTTAAAATCAGTTCCAAACTGATTTTTTTTATTATTATTTTTTTCAACTCAAAATTGTCTGGGAGCCATATGCCGTCACCGGAAGAGCCATATATGGCTCGCGAGCCATAGGTTCCCGACCGCTGCCATAGAACATAGAACGGACGCAACTCCCGACCCACAAAATACGACGGAGACATCGCGGCGATACGCTGCTCCGCTGCCTCCTGACGCGGCGCGATCGGTCGGCTCGACCGCCTGAGATGAGAAATGTAAGTTGTTGCTCTGCATCTACATCAGCAGCCGTACGAAAGAAGACCGAGGAGTTAAGAGTCAATGCTAATCGTTAGGGCTGGGGGTTACTGTTAAAGGTTAGTGGTTACGGGTTAGTGTTAGTGGTTACGGTTAAGGGTTAACGCAAGGAGCTAGAGTCAGTATCTTAAATTCTAGGAGTTAAGTTTGATGCTCGGGGTAGGTTTGGGGACAGTGTTGAAGGTTTAGGCTCGAGTTATATTAAGATCAGGGTTAGGATTACGTTTAAGGAGTTAGGGTTATTATGAGCATTGGAGTTGATGGTTAGATTCTGTGTTACTGTTATGGGTTCAGATTCAAATTAGAATCGCGGGTTACGGCTTCATTTACACGATGGCATTCGGGGGGTCGGGGTTAGCGTTACGGAGAGGGTCACGGAATTAAGGCTTCGGATTAGGGTCGGCTCGGGCTGGGGGTTAAAACTCGGGGTTGGGATTCATGATTGCTCGGCTGAACCCACGGGCATTGGAGACGCCGCGGTGAAAATCATCGCAGCGCTCCGCCGCCTTCACACGCTCATCCCCCTCGCAGCGGAGAGGCTTTCACGGCACAGGCAAGTTTCAAGTTTCAAGTTCATTTATTAGGTATAGCCCTGTGAGCCATTCGGCTCTTGAATCGGGTGCAACCGCAACAAACACAAAAACTAAAACATGAACAAGAAAACATCTTAAAGTGACTATGTGCAAACAGAAAATCCAAGAAAAGACAGCAAAATATTGCAGAAAAAGCACCGTACACCAACGCTGTGTGCAAAAATCCCAGTTGGATGCAAGTCAAACAAAAACAACAACAACCACAAGACAACTTAAAAGGCGGAGCTGTGTGAACGGACCGCGTGAGGCGCTTCCATCGTGGCAAATGACCACGGCCTCTGTCTACGTCGAGGGATCTCCGACTGGCAGTGCCTCCGTAGGCCGTATCTGGCCCTTGGGCGCACTCTTGAAGGGGCCCCGCCAAAAGAGATACGCTTTCGCGACGACTCAAAGAGACAAATTCGCGTGACGAAAGAGAAGAACTTCATTTTTGTTTTTTGCACGCGCGTGATAAGATAGCGAAAAGATCAAAGATGCAGCCGAGTGAGATGAACGAGAGAGAAATCAAACGCAGGGATGACAGAACCGGAGACGAGAGATACAGATTATTTCGAGGAGAGGAGACAGATAAGCGAGATAAGACGGACGGGATAAGAATGCCGCAGGTAAAAAAAAGGACAGATGAGCGAGTTGACAAAAGAGATAACGGGGGGGGGGGGGGGGGCAAGCTCTGTCGGAAAGAGGTAGAGGTTAAAGGTCATGTCCAGGCCGGACGACGTCATGATGCCTCGGGGCGTCGGTAAGGTACGATGTCGAATGGCCTGCCAGCACGCTCGCGCTCATTTTTATTCCGTGGCCCGCGGACAAAATTTGGTTGACGAACAGTGGTCTCCATGGACTCCGCTCGCGCTCAACTACAGGGGGAAAAAAATTAACCCGTAAAAACAGAGTTTTTCACTATAAATCCTTTATATGCGTGGCATCGGTTTCATTTTATTATTCATTTCTGTTGTTCTTGAGTAAGAGTTTCATTTTTATCACATTCGTACTTTAAATTAAATATGACATTTTTTTTTTCCTAAAAAGTGGAAAATTTTGGAAAAAAATTGTCACGAAAATAAATTGTCACGCACAATGAGTCTGTGCAAAATGTCAGCTCGATTGGATCACGGGATGTGGGTTAAAAAACGACCAAAAGATTTGCACGGTCGTAAGCGCGCAAGCAAGCAAGTGAACTTAATATAAAGGATTTAAAAATCACAGCAATTCCAAGGCATCACGTTGCTAAATGCAATCTCCAACCACATGCAGGCGAGATAACCTCTCTCTCTTTCGTCTCTCTCTACTCTGTAGAAGGACCACTGCCCAACATTTCAATGTGCTGTGTGATTTTCAATCATTACATACAACCCATTAGAAATATGATATTTTTTCTAGATTTGAAGTTTTCGTGACTGCAAGGATCCATACTCTTGGTTCTTTCGGTAAAGTCACGTAGGTAAAAAAAAATAAAAAATAAAAGATTTTAAAAAATCACGACGTTTCGTTTGCAACACAAGCAATCATCATCAGGTGTGACAACCACAGCATGAAATTTTACAGTAAAATTTCAACCACAGCAAGAAATTTAACAGTAACATTTTTTTACAGTAACATTTCTTGCCGTGGTTGTCAAACCTGATGACGATTGCTCGTGTTGCAATCGAAACGTCGTGATTTTTTTTCTACCCACGTGACTTTACCGAAAGAACCAAGAGTATGGATCCTTGCAGTCGCGAAAACTTCAAATCTAGAAAAAATATCATATTACTATAAAAAGGGCTGCATATGTTGCGTCAGCCATGGGGAATTGTTCGACCATAATTCACCATGCTGGCCAGTACGTGTTGGTGAAAGGGGAGAGGGACCCTGCACCGACTCGTGTATCACTCGCCACCGACGGGGTTGGCTGTCATCAAGGATCGAACTCGGGTCACCGGGCTCGTGGCGGCAGTGCGCTAACCTCTGTGCCAATGCTCTCGCATCTAGTAGTAGGTTTTTACCCTTTCAACTGGCACAAAACTGACACCTTTATACAAGGCATCATGTTTGCAATAACCACAACACAAGCAGTCAAAATGCAAACAAAAAGAAACAACTCTGATAATGATAATAATATGCACTGTCTTGGAAGTTGATTGGTCCACAGCCGAGACAGCTTTTCTTAGAGCCTAGTCTCCATTGGTGTTGGACCAGATGACGCCAAAAGGCGTGCAACTCAAACACAGCGCACTATCAGAGTATTGAGAGCTCGGGGTAAGCATTTACACTATGAGACCTCCTTTACCAGTGGCAAAATATAGTAGTAGGTTTTTTACCCTTTAAACAGGTACAAAACTGACACCTTTATACAAGGCATCATGTTTGCAATAACCACAACACAAGCAGTCAAAATGCAAACTAAAAGAAACAACTCTGATAATGATAATAATATGCACTGTCCTTCAAGTTGATTGGTCCACAGCCGAGACAGCTTTTCTTAGAGCCTAGTCTCCATTGGGTTGGACCAGATGACGCCAAAAGGCGTACAACTCATACACAGCGCACTATCAGAGTATTGAGAGCTCGGGGTAAGCATTTACACTATGAGACCTCCATTACCAGTGGCAAAATATAGTAGTAGGTTTAAACCCTTTAAACTGGTACAAAACTGACACCTTGCTCTCGCATCTCTCCGCTTGTTATCAGCGACGGACGGTGCGGAGGATTGTTGGTTCGCACAAGACCGACACGAACCAGCAACATCACAGGACAAATAGTCCATTTGTAAAACAGACTTGAATGCGGTCTACGCTTTGGTGTTGACGTACCACCTTTAATCACAACACATTAGTAAAACGCAGTCAGGAAAAAATTCGAGCAATTCCCAGACCAAAAATGCATTGTCATTTCAGTGATGTAAGAACACAATTTCTACACAGTTATATTTTTATTCAAACAAAAAAAACCCCATGATGTTGGCTGCTATATCACACACACACACACCCACATCAATAACGGGTTGTGAAAGGTTCAACGATGCCTCTGGGCCAGTTGGATGAGACCCATAACCATTTCAGCCACACATGGGCAGCACTCCGTAAGACCGGTCCCCCCCCCTTTCACGTGACGGGCAGTCCAACAACCGCGGAAGATCTCACACCTGCCCACCCCCCGCCCCCCCTCTATTCCCAATCGCTGCCTCGATTTGCACGGCAGCTGCTCGCGCGTTCGCGAATCTCGCTGCTGCAAAATCAGCAGCGGGGGGGAAGGTGGGGGGATTAGAGCTTGTTCAGCGGAGCTCTGCGTCGCGCGTGTACCGTAAGCTCAACGGCCCGGCGGTGCACTCGTAACCCTCTTCATGCGAAACAATGCGACCGTCATCGCGAGCCACGGGTCAATCCACCGCTGGGTGAAGTCCTCCGCCAAAGCCAGGCGCCGTCTCGAGCGGGTGTCGCGATGCAATGCGTGGCCGGGAGCGGAACGTCACGAAGGTGGCGGGACGGCACACTCAACACGACAGCGCTGTTCGTCGCGTGGCAATGAAAGGGACATTTTAATTGTCAGGCATGAAATTTAACCGAATTAAGTGCAGATCCAAAGCTAATGTGATGGGGTTTTTTTTTTGTGCAGTCACTGATGACCACCAACTTACTTAGCAACATTTCACTTATGCAGACTGAGCAGACATCTGCACCATAACGCAATTATGCAATTTAATGTAGCATTTAATAACGCATTTGAATTCAAGTTGCGGCCACATTAACCACCCACGATACGATCAAATAAAAAT